GCTGAGGCCCTTGGTATTCGAGACAAACGTTATTTTTCTAAAGGTAATCTTTTGTTCTACAGTCATTCAGGCTAAATAGTGTGCGCAGTAGTTTAAATGCACAGCACATCCAAGAGGCATTGAGTTCTTTGCAAATGTAAAAACAAACAAACAAACCAGTTTTCTTCTTAAGCTACAGATTTATTGAGATTACAGTTAGGATTTTGGCCCTGAAACATGGCAGACTGGATGGGTTCTCACAGCCTTTTAACTTTCTTTTCCTCTTGCATTGAAGCTCTGAGGTAGCTGGGTGAACCCCAAATACATCTTCAGAACCTCTGTGCTGTTGTCTACCCCAAAGCTGAAGGTGCTGATAACAAGCTGAGGACCTGGGAACTTTATGGAAGAAGGGGAAGGTCTTGCAGAACTACCCTCGGGGGACCTCAGTGAACAGTTAATGGTGTGTCTCCCATGGGCATGGTCCCATCTTTTCTCTTGACCTGCTCCCTAGGCAGGCACTGAGATGCACCTGAAGACAAGACCTTACCACCCTCCAGCGAGGTACCTGCATTGCCAGTGCCTCTTTCACCTGCTGCCCAGAGAGCCAAGCAATCTCTGCTCGGTCCTTCCTCTCAGGTGGAGCTCCTGCCACCAGCTTCCCCAGCTCTTTTTTTGTGGGGAGGAACTGCCCCAGTGCACTAGGACTGCAGATACGGCCCTGGCAGATGCTCCAGCGCCTCCCTAGCACACGTGATCCCTGCGCGTGATCCCTGCCGGGAGCGGAGCAGCTCACTCCAGAGCACGCCGATGAGAGCACGTTCCAGCACAGGGTTGCCCGTGCAGCCAGCTGCTAGGCTAGAAATGATCTCCCCTTAAATGTGGTCAGAAACGCATGAGTGAATTTTCCATGTTTGCTCCCTACCTTTATTTCTTTTCATATTCAGGCGGTCGGCGTGGGTTTTAGCATTTTTCCCCCAGCTGGCAGGGATTTTGCTTGATGTTGCTATTAACTCTACTGGATTGTAAAACTCTTCTGTGAAGGACACTGCCTGAATGCGCAGTGTTGTTATTTATTAGTGCGTACGCTTGCACACTGATCGCGAAGGACAAGATGATTTCTGTCGAAGCTGGGAAAAGATAGCCCAGGGATCATTTGTTCAGGCAGAGAGTAACCTTGAAAGCACCAAGAGAGGATGAAGTTCCCTCTCTTGATGGGAAGGGGTGGGGAACTTGGCTGTACTTGAGCAAGAGTGAGCAACATTTAGTGAATATTAATAGAGAGGAGGATAAATCTCTATTTTAAGGCCATATAGTGGTTGTATTGTATCTTTGCATTCAAGGCACTGTCCTCTACCACAAACAATTAGCATATCCTTACTGCTTTTATATAAATGTATTCAGTATGAATGATGCAAGAGCTTTGCATCTGGACATATTTATCTGTCTTTTATAAATATGTACTCAGTGTTTATAGTGGATTTTGTGTGTGTACATATTATTGTAACTACATATATACTTTGTTATTACTAGTTTGCGAATTAGTTGTATTATAAATCCATAATAGGAAAATACTGTAGTAGTTTCCATATCAACACGTGAATTCTCACTATTCGGAGTAGAATAAGTCTCCAGCCCATTTCACAGTAAGGAGGTCCTTACAGTACAGCTGCAGGTGCAGGACATTTAGTTATTTTACTTCTCTCTGTAGGTTGTCAGAAGTGTTCTGAAGGCACCTCTTTTTCTCAAAAGATGCTGATTCAGCTAAGCTGAAAACACTTGGGGAACTGCAACAGTTTGTTTTCGTAAAGTTGAAAGGTTTTGTTTGTTTGTTTGTTTGTTTTCTTTTTTGGCCTGGTAGAAATATGGGGGTTTTGATGAAATTAGCACTTCCTGTAGAATGACAGAATCGCAGAAGTTCTGGGTTCCATTCCATGCATGTCATCAGAATGAAGCGTAATTTTGGTTTGTTTGCGTAAGAAATGCAACATGTCTACTTTTTTGTTCTGATTCCAACAAAGCAAACAGAACCTGGAGAAATCGGAACTTGCAGTGGAGTGAGGACTGTGCGTTTTCCTGACCCTATTTCTCACATAACTGACTGAGTTTTGATTTGATGAAAACCTAACGAATGCTCCCCTTGGTTTCTGTGGGTTTTGCAGCCAGCAAGGCGAACGCTGCACCCGCTTCGATGTCCCTTTTAACACAAATGCAACTGCTTCTGAAGCAAGCCCCACATGTGAGCTGCTCTGCAAGACAGAGGAGGAGCACCAGGCCTGAAGAGGTATGTCTCGAATCACAAATACAGTGCCTGTATTAGATCAAAACACCAGAATTCAGGAGTTCCCGCTTCCTTGTCTTTTCTCTGGCCCCAAGGCCAAGAGAGGTGTTTCTAGAGCCATCCAGGCAGGTGAGGAAAGAGGAGCATTTGCTGGCAGCCAGCTGCAGCTCTGTTCAGAGGGGTCACTTGTAAGACAGACATATACAAGAGCTCTCCTGGATTTTTTTTTTTCCCCCTTCTAATTAGGTGATTTGTGACTATATTACTACTGACCTTGTTAATGCAGCTGTAACCATTCTCATTATCTTCTGAGTTATCTGAGGGATTTGCCTAATGAGAATATGCGCTATCAGGACATCAGATGCGTTGCACACCAGCTCTTATTGGCAATACACCTTCTAGCGATGCTGTAGTATATTTGAGGCTCAGAGGGGAAGGCAAAATAGGCTCCATGAGATAGATGCATTCACTGATTCCCATAAGATAGTTTTCAATATTCTAGTTCATCCATAAATCTGAATGGTGAGTTCAAGCTGTCAGGGTTTCAGAGATGCTGCACGCTATCCGAAAGGAGAAGGTCCTGGCACTGGGCAGATAACCATGAAGACAAGCAGAAGAGATGGGCTAGACCTGGCAGGGCATTTGCTTCGTCCTGCAAATGCTTAGCTGATACTGCCTTATGAAAGAGAGAGGTGCTAGCCTTGTTCCGTACTGTGGAAATCATGTGAAGCATCCTGAAGTTGCACTAGTGGAGCTGAGATCAGAGCCTCACTGTATGCATATTTGGCCTAACCGCACGCACGCGGTGAGATGAGGGACTGACTAAACCAGGGAATGAAAAGAAAAACCACTCCTACAGGAGTTCGGATGTATTGTCCTTTTTAGTGGCAGGTACTAGACAGAAATGCCTAATGCTTAGGCATTTTTGCCTAATGCTTAGAGTTATCTGGAAAAGTCCTATGGGGAACAACATGAAGAATACAGAAGGGTAATTCTGAGGGAGTAGCAGCACCTCATACCACTTGAAACCAGCTGAATCTAGCGCTACTTGAGCAATGTGTTCATTATTATGGCAGTAATATTTTTAAGACTTATGTTTTGGTCTGTCTGTTATTTAGAACTGTCAGCTTTCAACAATTAAAAAAAAAGAAAAAGAAAGAGGACTCTAATTTCATTACAGCAAATAGTTGGAAAATGAGCCACGGAGTATCATGAGCCAAGAAGTATTTATTTTGATTCCTTAAAGTGGTGCAGAAATTAGACTTCTAAAGGCTATTTGATGACAACAAGAAAGACCTGAGGGAAACTGAATCATATACGGGAGAGAAACTGATTCTTCTCTGCCTTGCTGTCATGCAAATGATGGGTTAAGTGCTGCTAGATCAGAAAGGCTCAATTTTTTTTACAAATATAAAAGATGCCACAAAGCATAAGCTTGGAGACGATCTATCCACACTACCCAAGCACATCCTTGCTGGCCACTCCCACCCTCGCAGCCCAAGCTGAGCCTGGGATTTGCAGAGAACTGAGCTGGTGTAGGTCCAGACGGTATCTCGGAGGCATAAGGCCCTGCTACAATGCATGGAGGCTTTTAGCTTGGGTTCAGCGACACTTTAATTTGGTGGCATTGCATCTAGGTGAGCTCATGTGATGTACTTACAAAGTACCATGGCTAGGTGACCTGTTGTATTTGGCTGCCGAGCTCAGTGTGGTTGGGTCTCACCGGCAGTGCATTACGCTGGTGCTCCATTGCCCTCTCCAGACCTCTCTTGTGGCCTCACCTGGGGACAGAGGAGGTCAGTGATGACAGCTGTGCCGTGGAAGTGACAAGGCCACCACCGCCTGTAAGCCACATTGCCTTCCCCGGCACCATTCTGGAGATGCAGAACTGTTTGCCTTGTCGCACCGCTCACTATGCAGGCAGCGTGACGACCTTTCAGCTAATGGTGGCTTTCGCCGTTTCCTTCAAAACTGATAAAATTGCTGTTCTCCATTAGTCCTCCGTTGGCAGCGTTACTAATACACCTGGGCCATTTCCGCTCCATTGTGCTTATTGAACACGGCCCCTAATTGTATGAATCCTCGCCGGTGCCAAGCAGCAGGCCTGGGGGGTACGTGGGGAGGGGCGGGAGCTGCTCTGTGTCGGGGACAAGGTTAAAAGTGACGGCAAGGCAGCTCGGTCCTGAATTAATGCAAGTGTGCTTGATTGCTTGATCTGCTGCCAAGTTACTCCCAGGCTGGAGTGGAAGCAAGGCCTGGAACGGGCACACAGAGCTGAAGGAAGCTCATTTGCAAGCGGAGGACTGTAGAGGGAAAATGAAACACTTCTCCCTGGACACGTCTCTCATTTCACCCTTCTTTCTGTTTCTTCTTCCACTTTCACCATCTCTGATTTTTTTTGAACCCGGAGGTCTTGAAACTGGCAGCCGTCAGTGGAGGCAGTGCACCATGGTTTTGGCCAGAGCCCTGGAAGCGGGTGAAATACCGCTGTATGTTTTGGTCTTCCCACTCTTACAGTGCATATTAGCCTCTTTTTTGCTTTGGGTAGCTTCATGTTCAGTTTGTCCCGAGAGAGAGAGTTAAGGCTTGCGTTGTGAATATATTAGCTATATGCATCTCGCTCTTTGTGAAGTGTCAGTTTTGTCTCTTCATCATCAGATTCCTCCACCCTTTCCAAAATTGAACTCTAAATATATTCTCATTTAGCAGTCACAAAAATTCATTTTGCAAAGGCTGAGGCGATTCTCTCTCTCTGCCTGTCGTTCCTGAGCAGCCGAGTTTCAATGGCCGAACTGTTTCTCGGGCGATACATCCACGTTTGGGGACTGAGGGTTGAAGGAAAGACCGCTCTCACCCCGCCTCGAGGAAACGGCTTGGCTAGACCATGAATTCAGACTCTGGGGGACAAGAAGGCAAGTTGTGCCAGCTGCTTTTCCCTCACAGCTGGAGCATGGGGAGCAGGCAGAAAAGCAAATCACACCCAGTATGAACAAGCCAGGAGCAGGACCGCCCCACGCTTCCCAGAGTGCAGTCGGTTCCTCGTACCCGCTCTCCTTGCCCAGGGATTATGGCCAAGCCACAGCGCCGCGCTCCAGATTGGTGTCAGCAGCCTTGTAAGGTACCTCCAGAGGGAAGTTTGGGGCTCTAAACATATTGTCAGGCTATACCAAATGCTAGTTATTAGTGTGTTAGTGACCACCATTCCTGCAGTTTCTCTGCTGTCTCATGGGCAGTTTATAAGCTGAGCTTCCCCTGATGCGCGTGGGAACTGGTGATCCATGGAGACTTTATGAGCAGAGAGGAAAGCTGGCCTCACAGCTCCCCAGGGTCCATATTCAGTGCTGCACTTAAATTAGAGTCTGGTTGCTCTATGTCTTTTGCAACCTGCATTAGTGCTTTTTGCAGCTGTATGTCCTCTCCATTAGGATCTTTATATTCCTGCCTTTTGCGTGCTGCGGGGAGGCAAGTAGGAGTGACACATCCCCGGAAACGCGAAGCAGCGCGGTAATGTCGGTGCCAGCAGGCGGAGAGGGACTGACACGCAGATAGAGCAATTTAGCTGTGCTGAGCCAAGGGCTCACTGCAGTCGAACAGAGCCAGCTATAAACTTTGCTTCTCAATAAGTGCCTTTATATTTTTCTTTCATATCAGCTAAATAAGGGCGTTCTGGCAGAACCATTAAAGCTAGGGAGGAGGGAGGTTTATGACTTTCAGCAGG